AAAATCATAAGCACTTTTTAAAATTCCTTTTCTACTCACCACATCTCGGAATGGTAGAAATTATAACTTACCACGTCAGGATTATCAGGGAATCAGAGCAATAAGAAAGCATTTCAGCTGTCAGTAATATGAAGAGGTCCCAAAGGCAGGGAGACTTAAGATTATCTTTTCTTTTCTGAGGGTGTGTTTTATCTGAGAGACATTGTCTTAGATAGAGAGATAATAAGAGAAGTGTGTTATGAACCCCAGAGAGCAGTAGAACACTGCTAACAGGACAGCAGACTGACCCTTTCCTGTGGTTTCCAGAAAGAAATGTGTTCTTGGCAGACAAATCTGTGCTCCTTGGCATGATGTGGAACACCTGGGGACCCTGCCCCAGTGCTGAATTACTGAGATGAGCCTGCCCTGCAGCTGAGCCCAGCCCAGTCTATGCCCCTGTCATTTGCATGTTCCCAGAGCACAACCCACTGCCCTGAAGACTTATTTATAGGCTGTTCACACTCTGCGCAGGACTCAGTCCCAGTCAGGACACAGCATGGATAGGAGGGCCCCCGCTCAGCTCCTTGGGCTCCTGCTGCTCTGGCTCCCAGGTAAGGAGGGAGAACACTAGAAATTTACTCTGCTACTGTGGTCAGTGCTGCCAAGTTGTTCACGGAAGTCCTCTTATAACATGATTAATCATATAGTAATTAGTCTTTATGTTTTCCATCCTTAGGTGCCAGATGTGACATCCAGATGACCCAGTCTCCATCCTCCTTGTCTGCATTTCTAGGAGACACAGTCACCATCACTTGCCAGGCCAGTCAGGGTATTAGCAAGTGGTTAGCTTGGTATCAGCAGAAACCAGGTAAAGCTCCTAAACTCTTGATCTATGATGCATCAAGTTTGGAAAGTGGGGTCCCCTCGAGGTTCAGTGGCAGTGGATCTGGGACAGATTTTACTCTTACCATCAGCAGCCTGGAGTCTGATGATTTTGGAACCTATTACTGTCAACAGTATAATAGTAACCCTCCCACAGTGTTACAATCCCGAACATAAACCCCCCAGGGAAGCAGAAGTGTGAGGCTGGGCTGCCCCAGCTGCTTCTCCTGGTGCCTCCATCTGATGAGAGTGTTTCTCAGATGTAGCCATGCTCTGAAGGTCACTGGAAGGTTTTGATAGAAGGGGCCAGGGAGGCTCCTCTGAACCCTAACCCTCTTTCTTTCTCCTCAGCCCCAGCAGCACAGACATGACAGTGTCTTTCCCAGTTTTATGAAGAACAGAGATCATAACATCTGAGGAGTCTGAGTTATGACATTTATTGGGATTTATTCAACAAAAAAAGTAGTCACTCTAGCTATTTCAAGCAGAATTTGTTTTTTCTTTTTAAATACAGGTAATGAGAGTCTAAACTACATGCTTTACAATGAAACTAGACCCGTACCTCTCATCATATTCCAAAGTCAACTCAAAAGAGATTAAAGACATAAATATACATTTTGAAACTATAAAATTCCTAAAAGAAAACATACAGGAAACACTTCACAAAGTAGTACTGGGCAAAG